GAAATCGATTTGATTCAAATTTAGCACATCTCTATTTTACTTCTTTTTAATTTTATTTAAGTCAATTTAGTTAGTGTTAGTTTAAGTCATATTTATTTTAAATATCTTAAATTATTATTTTAACAAAAAAAAAAATTTTTTTTATCTACATAGTTTTTATATTTATTTTTAAATGTACTTTTTTGTAACAAGATAATTTAAAAAATTTTAAGGGGCGTCATAGTTAACATCATACAAAAAACATGTACTCATTTTTGTTGCAATTCAAAATTAGTCCATGTTAAACGCCATAAAACGTGGCGCCATCTACGAGGTTCATTTTTGTTGCGTTTCAAATTATTCAACTTTTAACAACAGATTTTTCGAAGTTTTAAATATTTTATTAGACGATAATAATAAACTTTTAATTGTTGTAGGTTTTATGGTACTTAATATAATAATTTAATTTGCGCCAATTTTCACTATTATGTAATAAAGAAATTAGTTACAAGGAAAAGTTTTAAAACGATTAGCTGATATTTTAGAATGTCTGCAATAGGAATTAAATGAATTTCTACGTTTCTAACTTTGTGTGGATAGTTCTCTCTTGTTTAGAAAATTGATACGGGAGCGTTTACAAATGATGTCACGCAATTTTTCGGAATTTTAGACCTCCCCTCTCCCTGTCACGCAATTTCACATGTAAAAATACATTGTATCACGTTTATTAGAGACCCCTCCCCCAAAAAACGTGACATCATTTGTGATCGATCCCTACGTCACAGATGTATAGCAAACCCAGTAAATGAAAACTAATTCAAACGAATTGAAACGAATTAAGATGTTTGGTACAAAGCGTAATTCACTCAAGCTATATATTCAATTTATTCTGTATATTCAATTGAATTAGATTTAATTTGCATAAATTTGTGTAAACAAATTCACATTCGAAGGAAACGACCAAGGCATGCTTTTAATTTGTGCGGGCGAATTGAAATAAAATAAAGGCTCCAAAAAAATTGTCTAATGAATTGGAACCAATAGAATGTTTTGTATTTCAATAGAGTTTGATAAATTTAGGAAAATTCCAACATGGCTCCAATTCGTATTTGTCGCAAAGTGGAATTCACTGAAGCTCTTTGCGAATTCTTCTTAATTCATTTCAATTAGTTTTCGTTTATTGGGAAGTTATCTAAAGTCTTCTATACCACTGTTGTTAGAAAGCTGCTGTCTCTCCATGGAAGAGAAGACTTTTCATATTGGTTTTGCAACATTAATATACACTACACTAACGCGGGGTTATTGTATAGTTATTAGATCAGCTTGTCAGAAAACTTTTTCTTGTAATGTATTTTTAAAAAATGTAGGGGATTATTGATTATAATTGCTGTCGATTATTGTCAATGTAGAGCATCTCTAATGGCTGCTTCATGTTACGTAAGACATTTAACTTTGTAGGTGATAATTTTTTTTAAAATATAGAGAAAAAGCAGCAACCTAGAATTGCTCTAATTGATTGATTTTTTTAGAAAGGAAGAAAACATTAATAATTGGTATATATTTATTTTTTTACCTGTCTCAGAGTGACTGATATAATCTTCTGGGATGATATAATCTGTGAGGATGTTTTCGTTATCTCTAAAAAATTTAAAAAGCAGTATCCTATATCTATCAACAAGGATAGACATATCCTCCTTTTTTATTAATGGGATGTTTAAATTTATTATACAAGTTCACTAGGAACTTTTATTAATAAAAATTTTATTTTTGAGGGGTTATAAAAAATTTTTGTATCGTTATATTTAAGGGTCTAAAAGCTTGAAAATTGGTGTAACGTATTTTATATATGGCCCCTCAGAGTATAGGTGTGAAATAAGCGACGTTAAAAACCCATAGATTCATACACGGAAAAAATTCCGGGATATTAGATGCGCCGAGGACAGTGTCAACAGCAGTACATTTCATTTTGCATGTCTGAGGTGCCATTTCGAGACTTTAGAAAAATAAAGCTTTTTGTGAAATTCCTTTTAAGAATATTTTGTTATAGTTTAACTGTGGTTTATAAAAATTTTCGTATTGATTGGTTTGTTATTAACAAAAATATTTAAAAATTGTAAAAAAGATTGTTCCAATTAATAATTTTTAAATTCTGGAAAAACAATACTCATCATTTATAGATTTCGATATTTTTTTGATTAAAATTTTAGAACATTCCTCTTTATAAAAACTTTGTTTTATAAATTATAAGAAATTTGTAAAATGAGAAAAATATGTAAATATTTGAACTATTATTTTCGGGCAAGTTAGAACGGTTGAGTTCGTCAATACATGCGCATACATAATAAGATACCAAGATAAGTAAGACCGTCCATCTATAACTATAGATGTCAAAATAACGATAGGATGGATTCCCGTACACGCGCCCGAATGGACATGTGCCCGAATATCTGTTACCCGAAAAATTTTTACCCGAATGTGTTTATTAATGGTCCATGAGATAATGTGAGAAATATTTACACGAACATTTTAATGTAAGGGAAGTGTGCCGGTTGTGAGCACCCTTTTGTTTTTGCCTCCTAACATTTATTTATGTGCATATTATACAAATCTATGTGAGGAATTTAAAGCTAGAGGTCTTAGGTGACTGTCAGTGAAGAAATTAAATTGATTCCTTTAAATAAAAAAGTTTTATTAGAAATTTAGTGAAATGGAAATTTTTTGACAAAAAAAATTTTGTACCTGTTTGTGGGCACCCTTGAAAAATCAGCTAAAAATGGAAAAATATTAAAGGAAACCAACACAAATAAAGAAATGAAAGTTTCTTTCCTTTAAGAGACTTCGCCGGCATAAAGAACAAACATGATGACACGTTTTCACACTATGCTCATCGCTAACAGAAGCATAATTTGGAAATGTGTTTTAATAGTATTGTATGAATTATTTTCAAACTACAAATTCTATGTTTAAATTGTGTTCATACTTTATGTAATCGTATAAGTATGTTTCAAGATAGTCAATTCTGTGTTTAACTAGAATAAAACTATTTTCAAACACTTATTAAACCTTCTTGAAAATTAATTTTTCAACTTTGATACACTTTTATTTTAACATTATTTAACCAATTAACTTGAATTTTGAACACCATGCGAGACACCATGTTTTTTCAATATGTAGTCTTCTTGTTAAATAGGATTTTTAAGATCCATCAATATTTAAAAAAGTTATAAACAATTTCCCAGGTGCGATTTTTTGGTCGGCCCATAGTTGGGTCAAGTTTTACAAGGTCGGTCCAACTTCTCGTGCCAGGGGTTGGGCCAACCATACAGATGATAACGGCGGCCGTCTAATGGCGACGATGGTTGGCCCAACAACTCATAAGGAAGTTGGCCCAACTTACAATGCATGTGTTGTGCCAACTATACATTTCAATGGTTGGTCCAAAGACTGACGCCAAAGTTGGCACAACTTTAGATGCGTAAGTTGGGCCAACCACAATTTTCAAAGTTTGGCCAACTTCAACAGCCAAAGGTAAAAAATTATTAAAAAACTAAATTATTTAAACAATTAACACGTTATTAGTAGCGGGAACATCAGTCATAACCTTTATCTATTATTATTAAACACAATCTCATACATATATTTTCGAAAATATCTAACACTTGCTGGGATCGAACCCCTAACCTAACGCACCACTACGCTACGCTCATATGGGAGTGCATATCGCAAAATGTATATTAAAGCTGCAACAGTCGGGCCAACCGTGGCCCAGAGTTCGGCCGACCAAGAAAGTTTAAGTCATTTAAACTGCATTTGAGAAAGTTTTGCCAACCGTTGGGCCAACCGTGGCCCATAGTTCGGCCGACCAAGAAAGTTTAAGTCATTTAAACTGCATTTGAGAAAGTTTTGCCAACCGTTGGGCCAACCGTGGCCCATAGTTCGGCCGACCAAGAAAGTTTAAGTCATTTAAACTGCATTTGAGAAAGTTTTGCCAACCGTTGGGCCAACCGTGGCCCAGAGTTCGGCCGACCAAGAAAGTTTAAGTCATTTAAACTGCATTTGAGAAAGTTTTGCCAACCGTTGGGCCAACCGTGGCCCAGAGTTCGGCCAACCAAGAAAGTTTAAGTCATTTAAACTGCATTTGACATAGTTTTGCCAACCGACGGGCCAACCGTGGCCCAGAGTTCGGCCAACCAAGAAAGTTTAAGTCATTTAAACTGCGTTTTATAGAGTTTTGCCAACCCTTGGGCCAACTGTGGCCCAGAGTTCGGCCGACCAAGAAAGTTTAAGTCATTTAAACTGCATTTGACATAGTTTTGCCAACCGTCGGGCCAACCGTGGCCCTGAATTGGGCCAACCGAAACTGAAAGTCTTTTAAACTACGTTTGGATGAGTCGGGCCAAAGTTGGCCCGACGGTTGGTTAAACTCTGCATTTAATGGTTGGCTTGCAAAGTCGGGCCAACTGTGGGCACTCGTACTTGCCAAAGTTGGGCAAACTCTGGCAACCAAAACTTCGCTTGCCAAAGTTAGGACAACCTTGGGCCAACCTTCAAACTCTAGCGGCCAACCTAAATTCGCACCTGGGTTATGTTAAAACATTATGGTCAACAAATTTAAAAGTCTATCATTCTTTTTTTCTGTAAATATTTCTGATTCTGGTCAACACAAGAGACAAAATGATACAGATTAAGAAACTTTTTAACTATTTTACATCTTAATTACAAATTCACCGTTCTAGAGAAAATTTTTTAAAAAATTTAATTAATAATAAAAATTTGATTGAAAATTATTTTAATAATTTATAGAGGTGTGCAAAAAGCTCGAATCTCGATCGGGTACTCGAAATTTTCGAGTACTCGATTTGATTCGAGTCCTTGAGAAAATCCAAAATTTTCTACATTATTTTTTAATTAAATTTTTTTTATACAAAAAATTTTTTTTTTAATTTAAAAGCTCAAATCAAATGGAGTACTCGAAAATTTCAAATACCCGATACATCGAGCCCGGCTCAGCTCGGCTTGGCTCGAAAAAATTGCGGCCCGGCTCGGCTATTCGAACTTATTGCACACCTCTAATAATTTAATTTAAATTAATTATTTATTAAAATAAAAATGATTCAGTGTGTCAGCAGAAGGTTAAACTTACCTGGAATAGACAGAAGATTTTTTTCTATTCTTATGTTGCGTTTTGGCAACGACGGACGAGATCTGCGTCGATTTTGCGCATTTTCGTTTCTTGCAGGTGGTTGCTCCTGCCCTTCCTCATTTATTTCCACTCTCAAATTTCCATTGTCATTTCCATTGTCATTTCCATTTTCATTTCCATTGTCATTTCCATTGTCATTTCCATTGTCATTTCCATTGTCATTTCCATTTTCATTTCCATTGTCATTTCCATTGTCATTTCCATTGTCATTTCCATTTTCATTTCCATTGTCATTTTCATTGTCATTTCCATTGTTATTGTTTCTTTCTTCATTCCTATCTCCATTGTCGCCCGCATTTAATCCCCCTCCATTCTCAATCCTATTTTCCTCAGGAGCAACCACCCTACGCAACTCTCCACTACATCCGGCCCCATCTCTTTTATTGGTCCTATTTGCTAATGTTTGTAGTAAAAAAATCACATCAGGGATCACAGTATTTTTTTTGACAAAGTGAAATAAAGATTTTAAAATAACAAATTTAATTTTAGTGAGATATTGTTTAATTTTAAATTTTTCGTTACATATTTAAGATTATAAGGTCTAAATTTTATAAGTGGGAGTCTGTGATCCTTGAAGTAATATATATGAGGCATTCTTTGTCAAGGGGGCCCACCTTCTCTCCAAAAATGGTTTGCGTTTGAATTACCAGCTATAAGCTTAAAAGTTAGATAAAAAGGAATACTTTTAAATACCGAGTGGCAGTTTTCAAAAATTCAAAATGGCGGATCTTATATGGCGGACATATTTTTAAAAATGTAATGAATTCGCTTGAAAATTGTTACTCGGAGGTTTTCGGGGTCGCTGAATACGAATCTGTAGTTAGATTTCAAAAATTCAATATGGCAGATCCAGTATGGCTGACAAATTTTCTTAAATTTGATCAATTTGCATGAAAATTGTCACTCTGGGTTTTTTGGGGTCACTGATCACAAATGTGACTTCACAGAAAAAACTTGGACTCATTTTTGTTGCAACTCAATATTAGTCCATGTTAAATGACACAGAACGTGGCGCCATCTGCGAGGTTCATTTTTGTTGCAGTTCATAATGAGTCACTTTTTCGACTCATTTTAAGTTCAGTTTTTCTCTGTATTCTGTTTTCAAAATTCAAAAATAAAATTTAGAATTTTCGTCAAATTTCTAAAAGTTTCTGTGCTTCACAGTGCTGACAAGGGCCAACATATGTACAATTAGTCATATTTTAATATGTGCACGTAATTAGTTTACTTTTTTGAATAATTAGTTTTTTTTGCTATTTTCGTGACAATTTTGGTTATTGTTTCAATAAAGCAATCGAATTTTTTTACAACTTTTCAAGACTTTAAAAATCTGAAAGAGAAGTTTAATGTTTTTATTCTCAATTTGAATTGGATTGACAATCTCTGTGAATTATGTAAACTTAAATTTAAAAAATTAGTCTTTAATTAATCGAGAAATTAGTTTCCTTTTTTGAATTAAAATTTCTTATAAAAAAATTTTTATTCAAAAAAGTAAACTAATTACGTGCACAGTATTAAACGTGCACATATTAAAATATGACTTATTGTCATATGTTGGCCTTGTAAGCACTGTGAAGCACAAAAACTTTTAGAAATTTGAAGAAAATTCTAAATTTTATTTTTTAATTTTGAAGATGAGAGAAGTCACATTCGTGATCAGCGACCTCAAAAAACCCAGAGTGAGAATTTTCATGCAAATTGATCAAATTTAAGAAAATTTGTCAGCCATACTGGATCTGCCATATTGAATTTTGAAAATCTGACCTCAGATTCGTAATTAGCAACCACAAAAACCCCTTAAGTAGTAACTTTTAAGCGAATTCATAACATTTTTAAAAATATGTCCGCCATATTAGATCCACCATTTTGAATTTTGAAAATCTAATCGCAGATTTATAATCAGCGACCCCTAAAACCCCCGAGTAACAAGTTTCAAGCGATTTCAAGTAAATTTTAAAAATACGACCGCCATATTGGATCCGCCATATTGAATTTTTGAAATCTAACTTCAGATTCGTAATCAGCGACCCCGAAAACCCCCGAGTAACAAGTTTCAAGCGAATTCATTACATTTTTAAATATATGTTCGCCAATTTGAATTTTCAAAAACTGCCACTCGGCATTTAAAAGTATTCCTTTCTATCTAACTTTTACGCTTATAGCTGGTAATTCAAACGCAAACCATTTTTGGAGAGAAGGTGGGTCCCGTTGACAAAGAATGCCTCATATATAAAAAAGTAAAAAAAAATTTTAAACCTTGTACATTAGCAGCTCCATCTTTATTTTGCCTTGACGTCTGTGACAGCATATTTTTATTGGTTAAGGCTTCTCTTTTTTTATTTAAAATTATTTGCTGCCGCCTTTTTTGTGATTCGACTTCATTTTTCTATTGTAAAATAAAAAATTTAGTCAATTACTATACTACACGTTAAAATGTAAATAAAAGGCTTAAAAAATATTAAAAGAAAATAATTTTTTGTCCTAACTGCATGAAAAGTATGGCATTGAGGGCACGAGCGAAGAAGAAATTTACAATATTCAATAGTCAGTCCAATATTATTAGACAATCAAAATTTTAAGAAACAGCCATTAAAAAAATTTTTTTTTTCAAAATTTTTAAATTTTCAGTCATCTAAAAATTAATACTATTGCACGGTACTAGAAAAAATGCGTTTCGAGAAACTCGCGTTTAAAGTTTTCGTTCCAAAAAAAATATTACCTCGTTTAATAATTTTATTTTAAAGGGGTTAAAATAAAGGTGGGGTCTCCCCCCACGTGAAAAAGTTCCCGGGAATGCACTCCTAGGAAATTCCAACAGGAAATTTTGGTAAAAATGTTGACAAATTAGTTTCCAATTTATCGCAAATAATCAGATTTTCTTCATAAAATTTCATAGTTCTGTCAATTACAATTAATAAAATCAATATTTAATAGAGGAGGAAGGTTTAAATTTTAAATTCGAGATATAGATCGATTATGTAACATTTTTGTACAATTAACCTAATTTATCCTAAATTGTCAGATTTCCTACATAAAATTTCCGAGTCTTGACAACTACAATTGATAAAATCGATATACTAGAGAAAAATCTAAATTTTGATTTCGAGATATAGATTTTGTAACATTTTTGTAAAGTTGACCTAATTTTTCTAGTGTTGCCGCAAGACTCAAGACTTTTCGAGACAAGACGAGACTGAAGGTGACAAGACCAAGACAAGACCGTCCCTATATCTCGTCTCGATTAGTCAAGACGAGACGAGATCAACTGGGTCAAGACCAAGACAAGACCAAGAGTCTCGAATTTAAACTGATAGAATAAAGTTAAACTAGAAAAATAAGTATTACGCATAATTTTGTTCAGTATAAAATGAATACTTTATTTCTTATAAATTTTTATTTATCTAAAAATAAATAATTTTAATACAGAGAACACAATAAAATTTTCCATTTATTTTAAAACACAAATATTTATAAAATAGAAATCTATTTTTTTCTGAAATTTTTAGATTTTTTTAAACTCATTTTTGATTTTTGTTAGCTAAAAAATTACCTAATCCACAATTTTTTTCTTTTCGCACATTTTACAAATACCAATTTTAATTTTATCTTCATATTTAAAGTCGAAGAATTCACTATAGTTGGGACAGTTATTTTTATCAGAAATTGTTGTATTTGATGAACTTTCAGCTTCAATATCAACAATTGGAGATATTTATGACTCTTCACTTCCGTCATTCCGATCATTTTGCTTTGAAGATTTAATTACTGGAGACAAGCTTATAAATAATTTACTTATATTTAAAAATTTTATACTTTTTCAAACTTCAAAATAAATTATATAAAAATCAATACAATATTATTCATTAATATCAATAGGGGAGTATAGTCGAGGTTGGACCACTGTCTAGGTAGGCCATTCGCGTTTTTTTGTCAAGTTCACTAGCGCCACCTACGCGCATGCTTGTCGAAGCTTGTCTTAGTAAAACCTAACTTTTCGTTCAATTACATTTTCGGAGGATCGAAAATTGTGTTTTCTGTGACGTCGGTACAAAAAAGGCTTAAAAAAGTTTTGTGCATCATGTGAAAAATCATTAATAAAAGATAAAAAAAAAATTGAATCGTCAAGGCAAGCATGCAGAAATTTTGTGGGACTCATTGTTGAAAGAAAATCAAAGTGAAAAATCGAATCCCGAAACGTATTTCTTTTTGGTTACAACAATTCGGTAATGTTACTTTCTGTCAAGGTCGGCCACTTTGTGTTTAAAATGCGCAAAGATGAGAACGAGCTACTTTATTTGCAAAAACTGCAATTCTGTATAACTCATAATATAATTGATCATCTTATTAATATTTTCATTTAATTTTATTAATATTTTAGTGCAAAATTTTTTTTTATTTATATTTATTTTTTTATATTGTTTATTTTTATTATTTTGTTATTTCATTAAGTTACAAAATATAATCAATAAAGAATCAATTTTCCGTAACTCCAAACATGTTATTTTATTTTTTAACGATTAATGCCCTTTGAATTTTAAACATGGCCGACCTTGACTGTAAGGACCAACCTGGACTATAAATTTTTTTTTTAAATCTTTATAACTTTTTCATTTTAAAACGAATCAATTTACTTTGTACAGAAAAGATGTTCCTATTAAACAGGACTTTCCAACCATATACTTCAATTCTCCAAATTCATTTTTAAAAAAAAAGTTATAAACAAAAGTCAAAAAGTGGGCCGACCTCGACTATGTTCCCCTACTCTATTATAACAATTTTTTTTGTTAAAAAAATTTCGAGACTATTCAAAACGAGACGAGACTGTGTGTCTCAAGACGAGACTTGTTCAAGACAAGACTCATTGTTTGTCTTGACGTTTCAAGACGAGACGAGATTGTAGAGAATCTCGTCTTGTCTCGTCTTGCGGCAACACTAAATTTTTAAAAAGTCAGCTATTTTGAATACTTAATGTATTGCTGATTGCTCATTGTTTTGTAACGATAAGAAAAGTAATCAAGATGATAATGATATTTTCAAGACAAGAAAAATGATTATATTTTAAGGAAAGATTTTTTCAGGGACAGTGGAAGAAAATCATGAATTTTTTTTTAACTGATAAAAATTAGTTAGGCATTAGCCTAACTAATTATAACTAATTATACCTGCAATATTAACAATTCTCTCGTTTTTTAGAATCTTTTTAAATATCCTGGAATAATAAAAGAACGTCCTAAATTGTTGTAAAAATGTAAGAAAAATTGTTTGGTTAAAACCTAATACGTTTATTCATTTAAAGAATGTTTTCATAAAAATTACGATACAAAATTATTGAAGTAATGATAATAAGTAATGATAAGTAAAAATTAAAAATCGAGATTTTCTGTTGGAATTTACTAGGAGTGCTTTCCCGGGAACTTTTTCACGTGGGCCCTTAAAAGGATATTGTTTAAAATAATTTAATATAAACCTTTTTAATTTCCTCTTCAGTTTCAGATTCTTCATTATGATTCTCATTTCTTTCATCATTCTGTCCATAAAAACTTTCCTCGGAATGATAACATTTTGGAATCCTTAATCTGCTATTTCCGGAGCCCAATTTTTTAATTTGAATTTCCAAATCTTCTTCGGATTCTCAAAAAATAAAATATTTGAAGTATTTATATAAGTACTTGATAAACAATGTATGATGATTTCATTAGGGAATATCTTCTTAGGTGGACCTGATCCAAGATTAAACCACCTTTCTTATTTTTATACAACCAAAGTAAAAATGTTTAAATATCTGTTTTAATAAATATATAAGCACAAGGTTTGCCCTAATCTACACGGAAAAAAATACTAGGCTAAAAACACATGAGCGTCTGTTGTGTATATTGCACGCACACTACCATGCTTGATTAGCTTGGAATCCATCCTATTTTCGCATGGTGCTGTGGCAAAAGTCACAAAAGCCATGCATTTTTAGTAAACTCCTGTGTGATATTTGCAAAATGGGTTCATGTAAAAATCGAACCAATAGACTCCATGCATTATTAGGCTGATTTTTTTTTCCGTGTACCACAAATAAATATAAATTCTATTAACCCTGCGAGTATGTGGTTGGGCCTGTCATGACCCATACTTACTTAACCCTCCATCCGTTGCACCTTTTTCAGGGTCGCCGCAAGATTGACTTTATCAATTTTCCTGTCATTTTACTGACATAACAACGAATTTTCCTGACTAAAATTTGCTTGTTGCGAGCAAAAAATGTATTGCATGACCGTCTTAATTTCTTTAATCGCCCTGACAAAAAACTTTTTCCTGACATTTCCATGACTTTACTGACGAAAAATTCGCGTCAAAAATCCCCGACATTTGCTGCTTTCAAATTCAAAAACAAATAAATTAAAATATAAAAAAACACAAAAATTGTTTTAATGTTAAGAAGAAGAGTGCTTTAAAAGGTACTGAGAATATGAAATTATAATTTTTTTGTTTTTAAAAGTTATAAATAAACAAAGAAACTGGGTGAGGGAATTTGTCACCATGCGACGGATGGAGGGTTAAACCTTATTAAATCCAAAAGCTTCCTTGGTATCGTTTAGGGACTTCGAGTAGGTGTAGTTATGGGTTCGTAAGAGAAGACTGATATGGTGACAGTGTTGTGCTATTAATGTTTTAAATTACTTGGACGTAAACGTCATTTCGGCATATAATTCGGCCTATATATATGTACAACATGCGAGATTATTTTGCCTTTAAATGAAAGAAAATTGAATCGTAATATATTCTAAAAAGCAGTATTATACTTCACATTTTATAATGTTTAAAGTCAAAACTTTATAAAAATGAAAATTTTATTTACTAAAAGTTTTAGGGCTCGGATCAACTTTATGACCTAAAAAAGTCGCTTTAGTCGCATTAAGTCACAACAAAAAAGTCGCATGAATTTTTAGAAAAAATGACAAAAAAGAGGCATGAAATTGTGAAAATTGTAAAAAATGGCAAAATATTAGTGGAGTATTATTAGAATTAAGTGTAGAATGTAACAATATTTTTATGAAAATTATTTTATTTGTAGTTTTTCTATTTGCAATGAGACACAAAAATAATAATTATTTTAAATATTTATTTCCTTTCGTTTTTTAACATCTTTGTCAATATAAGTAAAAATACTACATCTAACTGAATAAGTGACGATAGAAAGTACTTTTTTTATATACCATGAGACACAAAAATAATTTTTAAACGTAGTAATTATTTTTTAATGCAAAAAAAATAATTGAATAAATCGAATAAAGGGTTTTATTTTCATTTATTTAAAAATTTATTTTTTTTATTATTTGAAAAAAATTTTAATAAAATTGTACGCAAACATTTAATTATTTTCATAAATAATAAAAATTTTACAGGAATTCAATCTTTTGCAAATTTTTTATATATTTCTTCGCAATAATTTCATTATTTTCATAAATACTAAAAATTTTTTAAAGAATTCAATTTTTTTCATAAAAAGTAATTAAATTTAAGAAAATAATACTCGGTCAACTTCAATTATTATAAAACAAGAAAATATCGATTGCTCCGAGTCGAAAACTCGAAGTGATCGATTTCTTTGTTTTATAACAAATTTTTATAAGTTGCTTAATTTTAAAAAGATTTGAATTTGAAATTTTTGAAAATCTTAATTTTCAGATAATAAAAAATAATAATAATTAAATATTTATTTAAAAAAGAAGTTATTAAGGTAGTACGCTCGCGACAGTCACTCTCAAAAGTGAATTTTAATAAAATCCTTTAGTATGGTGCATTTACTGTAGCATATTTTTGCTTGGACTGTACTGAATACATATTCAGCCCTATGTACAGACACACTCACACACAAGTATACTAGTCAGGTTAGAATATTATATTATATTATATCTTTTAACTGAAACGGTTAATATTGTTAATTCTTTTTGTTATAAATTTCTCAAACATTCATTTATAATATATTAGTTTTTGAAAACAATCTATAGAAAATTTTAGAAGTTATTAGAAGAAATGTGCCGTTTACATGCACTTTTCATAGGTTAACCATGTTAAATAACAAACTTTGAACTTACATATTTTGTTTTAGAAACGGTCAATTTTTTTAATATTTTGCAAATACATAGATCTTGTTATTAACTATTCTGATTTCAAATTTCATGAAATTCTATAGAAAAGTGCGATCACAAGCGTACTACCTTAATGTTTTAGAATAATTTTAAAAAAATTCGTAAATAAATGTAACATAACATTTTTTTGAGTAAATTTTTTTCCTTTATTTTCTAAAAATTTTAAAAATTTTATTTTTAATTAAAATTTTGTAATAGACAAACACAGGCTTCATAGTGCCCGGAAAAATTATTTTAGGCAAAATAGGTGATTTTTAGGGGACCATAAAAATTAGTTAAATAAAGTTAAAAATAATGTTATGTTTTATAATAATTAAAGATGACCGACTGACAAAATCATTATTTTTTGCAGCACCAACCTCTAAGGTTAAATTTTACACATCGAAAAGTATATATACTCTCTAAATCTAAATAAGTGAAATTTTCACTTTTTTCATGTGTGAACATTTTTCTCACTTATTAATAAGTAGAATCTACTTATACATAAGTGAAATATTCACTTTTTTATGTGTGAACTTGTTTTCACTTGTCAATAAGTGAAATCCGCACTTTGAAATATTTAGTTAAAAAGAAATTCATCTGCGCATTATATTACAATTTATTATTTATACCTACTTTTAAATGTTTAAAAACAATGTTTTTATCATTTCAGTTATTCTATTAGAATTTTTTTATTTTATTTAATTATAAAAATTGTCATTTAAAATTTAATAAATTTATTTAAAAATATTCAGTTAAATATTATATTTTATTTACTAAATATTTATATACATATATAATAAGAGAAATCTTAAACAAAACGTTAAAGTAGAACACAATAAACTAACTCTTTATAAGTATCACCCAATAATTTTCTATAAGTATAAGGCAACTTATTAAGTGGCATTGTAGTGTTTCTCGTTGATCATAATAGTTAAGCGACATTGCTTGCGGTTAATATTAGGATGGGTGACCGTTTGGGAATTTAGCTTAAAAAAGTTGAAAAATTGATATGTTTATAAGTTTCAAACTGATAATGGGAAGAGAAGAGAGTGTTAAATAGTTGATAGTAAATAAATATTTTTTTATATAATATTGATCCTGATTATTTATTTACATTCACTTCTTAATGTCTGAGTATTCACTTATTGATAAGTGAATGTAATTCACTTATTCATAAGTGAATATAATTCACTTATTTCATGTGTGAATATTCACTTATTCTACGTGGAAGAGTTTTGAAACATAGAATAAGTGAATATTCACTTAAAATAAGTGAAATTTCAATTATTCAGATTTAGAGAGTAAAGAACCTCTTTATAAAACGGTGTGTAAAGTGATTCACTTTATGCACTGAAACTTACTTTACGCACTGTTTTGTATGTTTTAATGATTGTGCATGTATTCATAGTATATACTATGTATGTATATGTTTTTTTATGTTTTATGTTTCATTTATTTATATATTCATATATATATATAAAATAAAAAATATATATATTATATAAATACAAATAAACAACTACAATTTCTCCCATAGTTACTACACTTGTATAGAAATGTTGCCCAAATTATTATCAATATTTTTGCAAAATTCGGTGAGGGGGGAAAGTAAGTGTTACAAAAAAAAGTTGTATTGTTACTGTAATTTCTTTAAAATTATTTTTATCATTTCAATTCAATTAACATTTTCTAGAATTTTTAACTACAATTCTACTTTAAATCAATAACATAAATTATTATTCCATTAAACTTTTTCAAAAAGAATTAATTTTACAGAATTGTTAGTTAAAAGTACGAAAAATAATAATTTAACTCTACGAGAAATCGTAAATTCGTGAAAATTTTTAAAAATAATGAATTTCTTAGAAGAATTTTATTACTTTTGAAAATAATTGAATTCTTGGGATTCATAATTTATAAAAATAATTACATTTTGTAAAGAATTTTATTAAAATTGATAAAAATTATTGGATTTCTGTGAAGAATTTTGTTATTTATCAAGATGATTGAATTAAAAATTTTGTAATAATTAAATAATATTAAAAAACCAACAAACTTTTAAACATAATTGAGACTTGACTTCACCAGAATACTAATTTTACAAATTGTATAAATTTCATGAAAAATTTCATCGATCATAAATTTGAAGATTTGAAACGGCACTTTGCTAAATTTGGTGTAAATTCATCATTAAAAGATAAAAGAAAAAATAGGGGAAATTTTCAAAATAGGGTACGTTTAGGGGCCAAAATTAAAAAAAGAGGACTTCTAGGGAAATAAGGGACAGACTGTGAAGCCTGCAAATAGAATTTATAATCATTTTCTTCCTTTATATTTAAAAAACTTTGAATTTTATTAAAGCAATTGTAATTAAGAAATAGAAATGATGCAAATTATTTCCTTATGAAAATTAAGAATTTTCTACAAAAATATTAAGAATCACAAAAAAGTCGACAAAAGTCGAACAATTCGAGCCCTGAAGTTTCAATGTTACATTGTTTTATTTAA